ACTTTGCATTTTTCGAAAAATCAATGAAAATATCCTCAAGTAAAGGTAAAGAAAATAATCTCTGTATCAATACTATATATCTATAAATATATCTATAGTTTAGCTATACATATATCTAAATCAATATCTATATCTTATCAATATATATCTATATAAGGGGAGCAGAGACACATTGATTTTTACCTTAAGGAGTCACTGATTGATCCTATATCCTACTTCCTGACCACCTCCTACAGCATGGCCCCTGGTGTAAAAGGAGAGGTCCCTGGGCACGGTGACCAGGACCCCAAGGAGCGCCTGGTTCTCCGGGGGCACAGTCAGCCCCTCCTTCCAGGAGAAGCCCCAGAGACCAGGACCTCCCTCACCTCTTGCCCTTTGTATGTGCAGACACCTCCCATATGCAAATGCCCACACGGCCACCAGACACGCACACAAAGTTTGCATCCTCTTAAATTCAGGGCCTCCTCACCCTGGAGAATACTTTCTGGGGACGAGGACCTCAACCTGCAAGACATGACTCCCATGTGGCTCTTCCTTTTCCTGCTGTCAGCTCCCAGATGTGAGTGACTCAAGGCTTAGACGTGAGGAGCTGTGGACCCTGCATCGGAGCCCAGTACTCACTGTGTTCTCTCTGTCCCAGGTGTCTTGTGCCAGGTGCAGCTGCAGGAGTCGGGCCCAGGACTGGTGACGCCCTCGCAGACCCGCTCGCTCACCTGCTCTGTCTCTGGATTCTCCATCACAACCAGTGTTTATGCCTGGAGCTGGATACGTCAGCCTCCAGGGAAAGGGCTGGAGTGGATGGATAATATCTGGTATGATGGAGACACTTACTACAACCCCTCCCTTAAGAGCTGAACCTCCATCTCCAGAGACGCGTCCAAGAACCAGTTCTCCCTGCAGCTGAGCTCCATAAGCACCGAGGACACGGCAGTGTATTACTGTGCAAGACACACAGTGAGGGGAAGTCAGTGTGAGGCCAGACACTAACCTCCCTGAGGAGACAGCAGGGCTGGGCTGCAGGGAGCATCCCTGACAGCAGATGGTGCTCAGGATCAGGAATGGGCCAGGACCAGGAGCAGGTGGAGAGTTGAGCAAAAATACCATTTCCTGCTCTGTCTTAAAAGAGTTTTGACCTGAGGCTCAGCCACTGAGTCACAGAAAGCCCTTTCCTATGTCTAGTTTTAGGGATTGTATTTGTGAACAAAAAGGGGGCTCTGTCCTAAATCTGACAAAACTCAGTGACTGACAGAACCCTCACAGGGGCTCTGATCACACATCCTACCTGGGCAGGCCTGTGGGTGGGCACATCCAGGCCTATGACTTCTTTACTAAAAGGCTCATCTTTGCCTTAAGCACCCCGTCCATTGTTCCTGTGCATCTGGGAAACACACCTTTGACATCAGCATGACCACCCTCAGGAGAGCACATTCTGGCCATCTGTGTGTCTACTTTGGAGACTTACCTATTAGGCCCTTTTCCTATTTTTCAATTGTGTTGTTGTCTTCCTTTTGTTAAGTTGTATGTGTTCCCTATATGACAGAGGAATTTTTAGGGGAGAACACTATCCTGGCATCCAGTCCCTGCCCTCCTCTCTCCCACCTCCATGTCACTCCTCACCTTCCCTCCTTAGCTTCAAATGCACAAATGCAGCTGTAAATGGTTATTCTTCCAAGGATGGGAGGTCTTGCTCCCCAGCAGTTCTCCTTCGTTTGGTTCCAATAAAATCTTATCAAACATTAACTATATGTTTAGATATTTCTTACATCAACATGTCTTTTCTGCATTTACAACATACATTCATACACATTTCTTCCCCGTGTGGAAACTCAGCCCTGTTGAACCTGTCAGGCTGGCCCTGACATGCCTGTTTGCATTCTTAAAGTGCACATGTGTATTCAAATGAATAAAAAGCAGCAGAACTGAGATTTGGGGGGCGGGGGGTACTCCACTAAAGGGAAGTTTCCACCTGTCTCCCCCATGATTTCT